GTTGTCAGAGAAAATGTGGGTCCAGGGAAGGATTTCATGGCGCTAGCATTTGCCAAGTTTAGATGGTCATGAACGTGCCTGATGAAGGACTTGCACGGAGACCCTTCAAAAGCTTTGTCTCAAAGCTTTGATATTATCCTTGTCCCTTTTACTTATTAAGTATTGTGAAGGTTAAGTTGCAGTAGAGCCTTACTGTATAAAAGGTTTCCCCCAACTCTGATGTGCGCAGTAGAGAGGGAAGCTCTGATGTAGAGAACTATTGATGAGGGAGGTGTAAAGGATGATGGTGCTCTGGGATGCAGTGCTTCCTGGGGATGGGTTGCACAGTTCAGAAGCCAGTAGGGGATTTAGAGACCAGGAATTTTAGGTTTTTCTCTTGTAGCTTTTTGTTAATAAAATTTGTATTTGTGCATGTGCAGTTAATACTGAGCAGATGGGGGTGTGGATTTGGAAACTTAATGCTTTGGGCTCTGATCTGTATGTCAGTGGGAGAGTGATATAAATAATATACATCATACAATGTCCTGTGTATAAATATGATATTGGGTGGTATATAAATGTGATATATGTATTATAAGACATTGTGTGATGTACACACATTGTATACACATCACTGTATAAATGGCATGTATCAGCTGCTTCCATCCAAGCATCCTGATGTGCTTTATATAACATAGGGTGGAAGTTATTCCTTTCTGGGAATAACTTTCCCCCAAAAGCATGAGGTTAAAGATGTCTGCATTGTGTGTTCCCTGTTAGTGCCTCTGGCAGCTGCGTTCACAGGGGATTCGCAGCATGCAGGAGGCGGCGGCAGCTCCACAGCTCCATCTCTGTGGGCCCGGTGGGCAGCCTTCCAAACGCCTCCCCACAGGGACACGGGGAGGGTGCTGCGGGCCAAGGTGAACAAGCTGTTCCCTCGCTCTGTCCTGCGGGCAATCGGCAGAGCATCAGTGGAGCAAATGTGGTTCCTGTAAACCTTGGGGAAACAGGCACCACGGCACAGCTCCAGGAGCTGGCCACTGGCTCATGCTGGAACAGGATACGGTGTGGGGGAGGCTTTGCTGCAAGATCCCTTCCAAAGGGTGAGGGTGGGGGGTATGCAGGTGTCCAGTGGGTAACAGCTCTTCTAGCACTTATTCTGGTGTGCACTTAATGGAGACAGCAACAGGCACAACTGAGAACAAGCACTGGCAGTGACGTTGAATAGATGTCTCCATTTTGTCCTTAACAGAGGGCAGTGGAGAGAGGCAGACACTTTCCTCAGCAGAATGAGTGAAGCTCCTTGCTCATTCTTTCCTTCTCCTATCCAGAACCTTCCCAGGTGTTTCTCTGCAAAAGACAGGAGAGCTCCTGTTGTCTGTCACTGACTGTTTTATGAATATGTTGATAAGATGGTAAGTGCATCATCGAGTCAGTTCTGCCCCCATTGCTTTCCACATACCAGTTATAAGTGAGACAAGAAGGTCACAGCTAAGAAGCTTTTGGAAAACATTATTTTGTTTATTCTCAATGATCTGAGAGCTTTAGTGTCACTTGGTAACTGTCCATTATGCTGGATTAAGCCATGTAATGATAAGGCTCTGAGATCTTACATAAACCTTTGGTACATTTTGTTTTGTTTTCTAGGTTTCTTGGTGCAGGCGTGAGCTAGCTTATCCAGCTTTTACGTGATTTGATATTTACAGTTATCCAGAGTAAACCTGTAAGCACAGAACTAGCATTTATTGAATGTGGAGATCCAGATAAATATCAGGTTAGTGAAAAGAAACTATGGAACCACTTAAAGTCTGTTGTTTTCTCTTTCCTGCACCCCCGCACACAAGTTATTAAAATGAAGTCATGCAGCAAGTAAAGATATTTCTCCTGAGAGAGGAAAAAGGATAATCTTGGATGACTAATGCCTTTTGATTAGGGGCTGTTTCACACAAGCAACTCACAGATCATTGCTGTACCTTGTAATAAACCTGTTCTCACTTGTGGTTCTGTTTATTTCTAAAGAGGATGAAGCAGATTCCATCTCCAAGGATTTTGGCAACACATCTGAATTAGGATTGCCTCCATAAGTCTATTTTCAAGAACAAAGCCAAGGTGGGCTTTTTTCTCTTTCCAAGAACGAGCCTCATCTCTCTGACTGTATCAGCATGCAAGAGTAATTTCAGGGACATATCCTTTTCTTGCACCCAAGCAGGTGGCACTGGAGGAAAGCAACTTGGAGACAGTGGGAGTCTCATGATCCCTGGGCTGGCTTAGCCCTCCCTCCCTCCCAATTTACAGTAGCTTTAGGGGTGCTGTAGTTGACATAAACAAGAACAGATCGTGCTGATGCAGTGCTGAGAAATGGCTTTCATTTTTTATGGTACTCTTTTCTGTGCACGACCGTGGTGAGAATGAATGTGGCAGCAGTATCTCTGGGACATTGTCTGTCTCCTTGCAAAGAGTCACACTGTTAAACTTTAATATTTCTGGTACTTGGTCACTGAATGATGACGGATGCGTAGCACTCAGGAGATGTACCACAGATGAAGGAAATAATTGGTTAAGGGATGGAGATTTTTTCCGTGTTTCATTGGTATTTTTTCCTGTATGAGACAGGAAAAAAAATATAATGTGTATAACAAAAAAATGTAATGTGTATAACATGTTTTCAGAAGTGTTTACGCTTCTCTGAGGATTACAGTCTCTTAGGATTTCAAGAACATTATTACCTTGCTTTGAAAAATGAGAGATGATTGTAACAGCTGCGATTTTCTGAAGGAGAATCGAACAGAGGTTTTCCTAGCAGGGAGTTGGGAAATGGCTCCTTACAGTTTCGCAGGTCTTAGGTAGTTATGGGATTATATTCAATTGCAATATTACAGTTTTTCCAGTTGCTTCTTTCTACAATTGCTTCATGACATAAGCAAATCTTAGAAGTGATAACAGGGTCTTTATTATGATTACATTATAAATTTGTTCTCCATGCCCTAACTAATAAAATCTTTTATAGCCCCTAGCATGTTATTGGTTGCAGAATGTTTGGTTATGCTCTCATTTTGGTTGCCAGGGGAAGTAATTGATCTAAAATTGCTGACCTCTTTCTCCCACTCCAGATAATAGTGCTGTTTCGAAACCCTAAAGATACAGCTGTTTCATTTTTCCATTTCCACAACAACGTGCCAAGCATCCCCAGTTACAGCTCCTGGGATGAGTTCCTCTCAGAGTTCATGAATGGGAAAGGTATTGTTATAGTTACTGAATGTGGCTGAAGAAGCAACAGAAAAAAAAAATTAAAAACAACTAAACAGGGCCAGTGGGAAAACAGCTGTGTCATAATTCGTTTACAGATGGCCATACGCCTTGATAAAGGAGGCAGCTGAATGCCAGAATGGGGAGAATGTCCAAAAGATGCTTTGCTTCTGGGTATTTTGCTCTTCCAGGCAAGGGTGGGGGAGTTGCATGGCAGATTGACAATGGCATTGGGTCAAAATTCTGCCACTTAGTGATGGAGGAAATGCTACAGATCTGAAGCGGTAAATGAAATGACAGTTTGTTGTCTTTACTGTTTCAGCACATGAGGCCAAACACCTCATTAGTAACCCAAATTTTAGATTTAGACTGATGACTGGCTTTGGCTTTTGAGAGATGTTTAAATGACAATATAGTAACAGAGGGGAGGCACATAGTGAAATTTGTATTTCTGTCTGGAAACCATTTACTTACAAAAGTCCAGAGGAAGCCTCTGTCATTCTGTTGTACAGGACAGTACCACGGACAGGACAGGCGGTTCTGTTTGTTTGCACTGATGTAACCAACAGGCAACAGAAGGCAGTTCTTCAGTTGGAGAGAAATAAGTACCCAGTAAGAAAAGGTCACACTGGTGCTTTTTCCTCTTCTTTACAGCTGGGTGGGGATCCTATTTTGATCATGCAGTCACCTGGAACAAGCAAATTGAGGATGATAATACTATGATCATAATATATGAAGACCTGAAAGAGGTAAAGCAGATGCTGTGTCCTGACAGGCAAAACATGTGAGCCCATTGCTTGAAATCTCCTGAAATTAACAGCAAAAGGCACAGGTTTCTGAAAGAGCAGAATCAAGTTGATTTTAGTGACAGGTTGAGTCTGCCTATACAAAACCTGAGCTCCAGTGTAGTGCAGAAAACATACTGTGAAGGAAAATATGTATTGTTCATAGATGATGGCAGTGTGCATCCCAAGTGGGTAACTCCTTTTTCAGAGGAAGCATATTGCATGTCTCCCTTTCACCGTGTTGCTTTCAGAACCTGACTGCCAGTGTAAATAAAGCAGATAGCTGTATTCTTTGGCTTCTCCCCAGGGGCAGAGCAGATCCAGTCCATTGCAGACAGGGCCACTTTCCAGGCAGTGAGGGATAAGGTGCAGAAGACACATGGCGTTGTTGGCTCAATTATTTTCCACAAAGGTAAATTTGTTTGTATTTTTCAGGGTGGTGAATGGTATCACTGCATCTTGGGCAGACAGGAATTTGGATCAGTAGATAGTTAATCTTTCTGTATAATTGTCAAGGTTGGGAGTTTTATTTTGGCTTCTGTGAGTAGTGGAGGTGGCCTGGCACTTGGTCTACAGAGTGCCTCCATAGATTTTTCTTCTTGGATTTTCTAAGTAACCCTTGTGATTACCTAAGAACCTCAGTCAACACCTGGAATCCAGACACTCCACAGACTGACCTGTGTCTTTTAGCCATGGATCAAGCCACATCTTTGAACTTTGTGGTTTGGTTTCACAACTGCTGGTCATCTTTTATAGTCTTCTGCAGCTGTACAAGACACATGCCAAAAGCTATGAAAGCAGACCAATAGTTTCCTATGATCACTTTATTTCGCATTTTATTGAGGGCACCAAATATAAGGCAAACCATGAGTGTGTTCTTGGGTCAGAGATTCTTTTTTTGCAGAAAAAAAAAAGAAAAAAAAAAAAAGAAAAAAAGGATAATCCTGAAATATGATAATAAGGGAGACAAGGTAGTTTTTGGTTTTAAAACATACTGCTTGGTCCTTACATTTAAGGGTAATATTTGACTTTTCTTTATATTCCAGGTGTTGCTGGAGACTGGAAAAATCTTTTTGCTGAAGCTCAGAACCAGGAAATGGATACCAAATGCAAAGTGTGCTTAGAAGGAACTAAGCTGGGAGCAAAGTTAAAATATGATGTGTACTGCAAGGCCTGAACCTCCTTTAGAGAAAAAACTCATGTCCAGTCTGATTTTCATTTATTTTTTTGAAATAAAACAGAAACCAGGACAATATCTGATTTAAAAATGTTGAAAATTTGCAAACCTGTTTCTGCTCTCAAATTACACAAGCAATGCTTGCTCGTGCAGTTAGTATCATTGACTTCCCTGGATTCTTGTAAATGACCTGTAGTTCTTTGGCCTCACTTGGTTTTTAACGCTGATAGTTGGCTGTTATTTCATGTCACCAGGTGGAATCCTGTGTGGAATCTATGTGCAGTAGTTAAACCTGCTGAAATCAATGGAAATGTATTCAGTATGTTAGAAGTGATTTTTTGAGGATAATGTTGAAACAGGAGCACTACTTCCTATTAAAATAGGTTGCCCGAATTACTGGTAGATCAGTAATAGCCAGCCTGTCCACTTAAACCACCGTATTTCTCAGTTTAAGATTACAATTAAGTATTCCAGGGCAGTTCAAGAGGAAGTCCTATCTCAAGATGCTAAATAGGCTACTCTTAAATTTGTACACCTTTTGACCAGCAAGGTTATTTAAGCTGAGGTTGTTCAGCTGAGAGAATATTTTATAAGTGACGTTCTTAAATTTCTTCAGCCTTATCTGCAAGTTCTTCTCAATCCATATTCACACATTCAGTAACTGCCAGCTAATGATGAACATTAAAGAACACTGAGTATAAGACTAGTGAGTGTGAGGGGTGACTGATTTTTTTGCAGCTTTCTGTGTGTTGTAGGTTCGGGTCTGTTAAAAATGATGTGGTGGGGTAACAGGGAAGAAACCTAGACATAATGTCACTGGAGAAAGGGAGAATCTGTAGCTTCCTCAAGCACTTAAGCACATTCAGGATGGAACAGCACTCTGAGGTGCTTGAGATGGTGGCATTGAAGGTCAAATCCAGTAGCCCACGGTGACTGCAGCTATTGACAGCAGCTAAACTAAACAAAAGATTCGAACCCAACAGAAAAAATCCAATTCCTCATTGTGGAAGATCACTAGCCATACATATAGGGAGAAATTTTGAATATATATTTTCCATTTCTATATTTTAGACTTTATATATGTTTTCCCTATTTTAATTTTCTTTTTATTATGGTACTCGGCAGTAAAACTTTAAGTGGTATTTTTGGCACAATATTTAAGGAATCATGTTGGATCATTTGGCTTCTAAAGAAGAGGTTTTTTCACTCCCTGACCACAGTTTTGATTTCATTTTTTCTCTATTTGTGACCTGCTTTGCACATACCATTTCCCAGCAGTTGTAGGTATTTATGATGTCTACATTTAGAGTAACTGGTAAATGCTGCTCTATTAGTACTTTTGTAACCTCCATTTCCCTTATGAGCTGTTCAGTAACAATCATAAGCCAGGAAAGTATATTAAAATTATATTGAAAAACAGAAATTGGAGGTCATCTTGGAAAAGAGAAGCATAAATGTATCTTTTGTATGCGAGAGATGGCTCTCTTGTGGGTGTTCAGGGTGTCAATAACCCAACCAAAAAGGAAAAGAGTTCTGGTACTGAATTATAATAAAAGTAAAATGGGATCAAAGCAGACAGAACTGAGCTCAATTTTCTCATTACAAAATGTGAGCATTTCATATTGCAGCATTATGCAGTACATTAATTGGAAAGATAATCAATGTTGAATTACAGTCGAAGTGCTGTAAAAGTACAGGGCACATATGACATCCACAGGAACATAAAATAATTTTTTTGAGTGTAGGCTGGCTATTAGAAATGATGCCAAATGGATTTATAATGAAGGGGGACATGAAATGCAGTCATTGCAATCTTGTTACGAAGGCAAATGTCTGAACTTGTATTTTAATGGGGTTTTTTTTTTTTGTTAAAGTCCTAACACTTTAATCTGAATTTTGGCTGAATGATCACCTCTGGTGGGGATTAGCACCTTTTGTTTTACTCTTGACGTGCTGCAGAGCTTGGCAATGTACACTGGAAATGTTGGAATGAGACTGGTCAGTGATTGCTATGGATGTTGGTATTGTTGGGATTGATGCAAAGGAGAGAAACAGAGAACAACAGCATCACGAATGAGAACATACTGTCAGTGCCGTGTCTGAGTGCGTTGCTAGAACACTGCTCAAATGTTATTTATGTTCAGATGTTTATGGTCGCAGATACAATTGTCCTGTATTGCTATAGCACTTTGTAATACTTGTGGATTGGATAATATAAAGTATTAGCTGATAAGATATTCAGTTTGCATCTGAATCAAAGGGGTTTTGTATGATTGTTTGGCTTCTGTGAAAACTTTAGAGTCTTGAGGAAGATAGAAAATTAGTCTTTGACTTTGCTCAAAACGTGAGCTGTCAGGGAATGAAAGGAGGCTTCGAAACCGGTGTCTTGGGAGGCTTGTGTACTCACAGTAATGTGAGCTTATTGGCATATGCTTGTGGGGTCTCTGGCGAGTTCCCTGCTGTTTTGCGTTTTACAAGCCACTGAAGCCATTTTCATTTCTACAATGCTCATTAGCGTTCCCCCAGCAGGTAAATAAGTCATTGCTTCATTTTTGTGTGTTTCTGATATATCCGTAGGCAGTGTATTTATATTCAGAGGAAAAAAATAAATAGAAGATAATCTTAGGCATTAGCCATGTCCCCAGAAATATAAAAAAACCCCAACTAAAATCCCCATGAAAATGGAGCACTTGTATTCTCTCTTCATTTCTTTTCTTCAGGCACAGAGAGTGATCGGCATAACTTCTGCAGGTGACCGCGCCAGTCTCTTCTTTCATTCTGTATGCCATCTACAATCCTCTCTTTTTTCTGGTCTCCCAGCACAATCCACCCTGTTTTTTTCCCTGATTGTTATTTGTTTAGGAAACTGTTCTTTTTTCCTCTTTTTGTTTGTTTGTTTGTTTTCCCCTGGAAGGCCACTGTGTTTGTCCTCACTTGCAACATGTAAATTTCTGGTCACCTGCCTTTCCGGCTGACAAAATATAAACAGAAACTTCATGCACCAAGGCTGTAGAGTGATGAGACCTTATGGCATTGGGTGAGGGGGGCCCGAGGGGCCTCTGCCCTGCCCCGAGGAGCTGGGGCACGGCTGGCTGTGGAGTGTCCCCAGTAAACAGGGCGGCCCTGCCTCAAGAGGACAGGACATTAACTGGAGCAGGACACAAAGCAGCGGTGGAGGCTGGGCCTCCCTACACCTCAGTCCCTCCAAAATTGGGTGGTGACGCCTGGGGGTGTCCCATTAGCTGTGAGCCCGGGCCCTCGCCGCGCTGAGGGGAGGTTGTGGAGGGAAGGCCCCTCTGGGCTCGCCTCAGGGGCAGCGGGAGGGCAGGATGGATCTCCCATGGCTGCTGCAGCCCACCAGCTCTTTCGCCACAGGAGTTTTCTCTGTTGGGCTGTCGAGCACTACTCGGCCTGCTTTTAAAGGTGAGAGGTGGTGTTCTCCTGTGTCTGAAAAATACGGTTCAGCTCTCAGACCGGGCTGGGGAAAATACATGGGGGAGTGAGTTCCCTTCCTGGTGACTGACAGACCTCTCGTGCCAGCCTGCCTGGGGGGAGCTGTGGTGGAAGGGTGGTGGTATAACGTGGTCCCACGTGCTGTCTAAATCCTGACCTCCTGAGGATTTTCTAGCGGTAAACCCTGGCTGTGGTCTTACCAGAGAGAACAAACATGGCGTGGGAGGATGTGGAGGAACGGGAGCACACAAAACAAGCAGCTGTGGAAAGGAGGGCGGCTCTGAAGGCTGCATGTGTTTGATGAGTGTGTTCCCCATATGGCTGGAGATTATAATTTGGAGCAAAAAGCCTTGGGAAAGCCACTGCACAGCGATGCCAGAGGGACGCGTGCGTGTGCTGCAGACCCTCAGCAGAGCAACAAATGTGTCCGAGCGCCGGGGCTTGCTCAGCCTGCCTGTTGTACCGTGGAGCACGGGATTCATGGTGGAGCAGTAAACAGGGCAATAAACCATCTTCTGAGGTTATCAAATGGGAATGTCTCTGTGGCACTTAATTGCCTTTGCAGGCCGTTTTATGGCTCTCCAGCCCCTGTGCCCTCACTGTTGCCATTTTAAATAAGCAATCTGAAGCACAGAAGACAGAGTGTGTATTTTATACATGGGTGATTTCAAAGTTTCTGTGCAGTGGAGGACAGGCCCTCTAGGGATCTCTTGTGTTGCATTTTTCACTGCCAGTGTTTTGAACGGTTTACAATACAGGGCCATACAAGTGCTTTGGCCACAAATGAATTGTGTGCTGAAAGCCCAAGGGCACCGAAAGAGATGAAAAATGCATTAATATAGAAAGACAACTACGTAATGCAGTAGAGTAAGTATCATTATTAACTGATGTAAATGCAAAGCTGTTTGCCAGCGTGACAGACGCTCCAGAATAACAATAACATGCGCCAGGTGTGGTGTCCCAGGCACAGAAGCTACTGAGATGCTGCAGCAATTTGATGGTGAGCTTAAAGAGAGGAAAGGAAGTCAGAGCATTCTTGGAGTCTATAGTATAAAGGTGGCAGAGATACCAGGTGGTGTCGTGCTCTTCTGCTATGCTGCTGGCAATGGTGGGCTGCCTTGCTCTGCCCAGGCAGATATGGGATATGGCACTAAGTACGTGTGGCACAGTGGCAGCCTCTTGGCCTGCGTGACTGTGCCGGGTGGAACGGCCATTCCCCCACTGCTGCTGAACGTGGTGGGGAGCCCAGACCTGTGTGCTGGCCGAGAGCCTGAGCGCAGCCCCTCTGAGCGACACCAGTGCTCAGCAGTGTGGCCCAGAGGAAAGCCAAGTCCCGCAGCATGGATGCAACAGGCTTGAGTGATCCAGCTGGCCAACCCTGAGCCAAACCGTGGCGCAGTGGCCAAATCCAACGTTGGTGTATCCCGAGGTGAACATGGTGGGTAAATGTGTGGTGCCATGGGGCTGCTCATGGGTGTACTGCTGGGCACATGTGTAAGTGGCTGCAATAGCAGTGCACTGGAACAGTAAAGCAGCGAATGAGTTTG